GTAAATTATATCAATTTGAAGAATAATTTATTTTTTATATATAACGAAATAAAACTTAAGAAAAAAATATATTGGCAAATATTAATTCACCAACTTAATTTCCCGATTGAATAAAAATTCTACCTAAATGTAGTGACCTACAAAGATAGGTCAGCAAAAAAATATATCTATTTTTTATTAGAAGAATAGTTCTTAAATTGTTTGTTGACATTTAGGTTTATCAAACCGCCTCTCGAGTATTTCATTTCAAACACTTTGGGACAGATAATTAACTTTACATTTAAGTAGAAAATTAACAATAGAACGTAAAACTATGGGCATATAAAATATCTGGAACTATTGAAATTTTTTGGTTGCAATTTGAACTTTGTCCAACTTTTAATTACTTTTTTTTATACTTTCTTACCTATTTATCACTTGGGTGCCACCAAATTCACCTAATTCTCCTATATTTACGGCATGCGCATAAAATATTTGAGTTATTCTATACGCATCACACCATTCATTGCATACATGTAACTAATAACCAATGTAAATTAGCCAAACATTTAATTAGTGAAGAATATATTAGAATATTGATATGTTAAAATCTATCATTATATAAAAAGAATAACCTTTTTATAAATTTAGAAATTTTTTCCCGCCAAAATTATTAAATATATCCTAAATATAGTAATTGTTGGATAATTGTGAATAGACACAAAAACCGGCTCTTTAATTACATTGTTTTCTTAATTCCAACTTGCAACAATAAATCTGATTGGCTTTTGGTTTAAACTTTCCCATAAAAATCTCATATCATAAATATACACGAGTTTATCTTTTATTTGTTATATTGCATACATTTTTTAAAAATCTTATCTCTTATCTATAAAGATTTTAAAAAATAGAATAAAATAAAAACCAATTCATAATTACTACTGGAAATCCATTATCTACTTTAAAAGGCTAATTTTCATCGGTCTAAATACTAATATTTTTACAAATATTCGAGTTTATCTCTTATTTGTTATATTGCATACGTCTCACGATTTTAAAAAATCTCATCTCTTATCTATAAAGATTTTAAAAAATAAAATAAAATAAAAACAAATTCATAATTACTACTAGAAATCCATTATCTACTTTAAAAGGCTAATTTTCATCGGTCTAATTACTAATATTTTTATATATATTATAAGCTAACAATACATCCTCGATAACAACGTAAAAAAAATAATAAATCAAATATCTTTTTAGAAGTAACATCATAAATTCAGTATTATCTGACATAATGTCTTTATTAAATTATGCTCATAATATTTTAGATACTTTAAACGAATTGTTTAAACATTTTTTTACATATTCGTCTATATATACATATACACATACATAATTGATGTTAAGTTTAAATATTTGTAGACATGTTTTCCTTACAAAATAGTCTAGAAAAATCTTTTTTACGTCATGTTAAATTTAAATGATTTTAGATATGTTCCTTCTAATAGAAAAATTGTAGGTGACTTCACATCTTTCAAAAATAATATAGAAAGTTTTGATTACTCTTACAAATACTAATATAATATTTTAGGTGTTTTTAATATTAAACATACAAATTTTATATTCTCTTATACAAAATAATGTAAATTTTATATTCTCTTATACAAAATAATTTTACATTGTTTGACCCTGAATCTTTAATTTATAATTATTAAGTATTGTTTATCCTCCTCTTTAATTTATAATTATTTTTTTTCTTCCTCTTTTTATATAAGATCAATGGTAGTTTTCACTTCCGCTATTAAGTGACTCAAACTCGAGTCTATTTATAATATTGTTAATTTAATATTGTTCCCGTGCATCGCACGGGGTACACACTAGTAACTCACTAAAAACAAAGTCAAAAACATCAATTGATTGTTAGTTATCTAAAACCGATGTCTAAAGTTCATTATAGTTTGGGAACCGACTTAATTTGATTGTGACACTGTAAACAATGTGAAATTAATATTTTAAGATAGATTTTTTAATCGGTTGATCTTGTGTTAAACTAGTCTACAACCATTAAGTCGACCTACATTTTTAAAAAATGTGCAATCATTAAATAATTAAATACTTTAAAACTAGTCTACAACCATTAAGTCGACCTACATTTTTAAAAAATGTGCAATCATTAAATAATTAAATACTTTAAAACACAATATAAACAAAAGTATAATATTTAATGATATATAAATACGTATTTTTGTTTAAATATTATACAAGTTGACCCATCTAACGGTTAAACTGCGTGCCTCACACAGAACATCCCTCCCTATATATTACTCCCTCCATTTTGAAATATAAGGCGTATAAAGATTTCTCATTTTTTTTGAAATATAAGGCGCGCTCAAAAATGAAGACAAATTTTTGCATTTTTTTCCAAATATACCCTCATTGTGTTGAAATTAAGGAAGTGTGGAGTGGTTGTGATTAGAGTAAATAAGGTTAATTTAGTCAATTTATTCATTAATTAATGTCTCCTTAATATTTGTGCAATAACCTTAAATGCCTTATATTTCAAAATGGAGGGAGTAATTGAGAACGTGCTGAGCCTATGTGGCAGGCTCGCATGCTTCGGGATCTTATGTGACAAAAATACATGTTTCGTTATTAGGCTTGGGTAGATTTAGTTTACTTCTAATCCAAATATATTTAGGTTTGGATTATCTATAATATGTTGATTATTTATGGTAAGGGTGGACGCCGGCCGGGACGGTCTTGGATTTGACTTGTCCGGATACCCATCCCACTTTTATGAATCCGTCCATGAACGAGGCACCGTCGCCACCCATGTATTACATGGGTGTTGTACTAGTGATTGATTAAATAACAACTTTACTAATTGTGATGGCTATGATTGAGATTAAAGTTGCACTAACTGATTAAAGTCTTAATTAGGTTAAGATGGAGTAATTATGGATGCTTATCAGGATAACGTTCACCTAAACTGTGTGTGGAAAATTAGCAAAACATTAATGCTAAGGAGCCAACAGTCAATGGGACAACTCCATGTGGGGATGTCGACATGGCTCCTTACTGATTAGCAAAATTGTTTGAAACTCCGAATGTGACAAGGAATTAGGAGCAAATATATATAAATAAGTGTATATTAATTTGTTATGTGCATTGGATTAATACTTCTATTAATTTTGATTCCAAGAAATTTTTATGTTCAATCAAAATTTAAATGTTACATTTTGATGAAAAAATATTTATTATTGCAAATAAGAAATCTATATCTATATCTATATCTATATAATGGACCAATCCTTATTGCCATAGTTGGCATGATTTTGGGTGAAAAGTTTTTTCGTCTATATTTGACGTTTAATTAATATTTATTTATTAGCAAATCTTATGAATGAAAAACATAATTAGTTTTTTTTACGCTCAATGGCTATTACCCACTAACTACAAATTAGTTTAAATTGAAATTTTGACCGTAGATTTATTCGATATATTTCAATAAGATCTTGTATTAATTTAATAGTAATTTATTGACACAATTCAAAAAATTATTATAAAAATTGATTTGATTAAATATATTATCATATATGGTTGTAGGTATTAATTTAATTAATTATATTCACTATTCAGAAATACTTAATATATTTAATAAAATAATCAGAATAACTATGTTTAAATCATAACAACTTAATAAATAATTTAAAAGTATTAATAAAGTTTAAAAAATGTAGTCAATTTAACTACATTTCCATTGAATATGTCATATGTAGTGATAATACTTTTGAAAATTTAAATAATATACTAAATAAAATAAAATTTGATGGTCGGGTGCAATTTATAATTATAAATTTCACCTTTGAAATATCTATGTACATTAAAAACTATTCAATTTTTAAAAATACATATTTTTTTTTTCTTATATACTATTTTATAAATGAAAAACAAGTTAATAAAAAAATGTATAATAATTTAGATTATAGCCCTTGGTAATTATAGAAATATATAATATATCTAAATGTTCGAATAGATACTATATGTACCTCATTGTACATGTTGAAAAAATGAATTAAAGAAATAACTATAAATAAAAAATGGAAACATAAAAATAAAATATGTAACCATAAAAAATTTATGTGTTGCATAAGGACTAAAGTCACTAAAAATTAAAATTCATTTATCAAAGTTTTTAACATTAAATACACTTAATAATTATAACAGAAGATAAATATTATGGGTTAACCGTTGGTTAGTTATCGGGCAATGTGTAAATTATGAATTATTAGAAAAACTATAAGACTACGATAAACGACAATATTATAAGTACATACAAGTAACTTGTATGCAAATACCATATGATCTTATACATTTATAATTTTTTATAAACTTATCAGTAATAAAATTTATATATTAAATAGTCAAAAGCTACAAAAATATAAATTAACAATTATATTAAATAAATAAATGTCATATTATTACTGAATAGAATATTGTGGAGAATATAATTTCATATTGTTTTAAATAATTTTATAATATTTAAATAAAAAATATTTTTTTGTATTCCACCTCGTGCATCGCACATATCAACACTAGTAATAGAAACAAACCCAAAAAAATGTTAGGTTAACTATTTAAAATTGAAATACAAACAAAAGTCAGGTTTATATTTTGAGGTAATTGCACCCCATACTAACACATTTAAATTATATTACACTTTTCTACCCCTTATATATTTATTTTTAAAATTACCTAAGAAGCTACAATATTTTCAATTATACCTAAACATTAAATTTCTATATTGTTTTCAATCAAGTCCACCGTCATCAGATTTTCTTTATCCGATGTCAAGCAGAAAACCTCACGTCTCGTACCATCCCATTTTTCTCTTCAGTATAAGTCGATCATATATCATCGTTCGTCGCCCATATATCGAGCAGATCTTCAATCGCAGAAATCTCATCGATCGATTTTCTTTTTTTTTTTTAAAAAAAAAAGAGATTCCCTGTACCATCATCTCACATCTCACCGCCTTCCTCGTCAGCCTTCACCAGCCTGAGAAGATCGCCTTGCGGGAGCAGCAACTCCATGCCCGATCCGGATCCAAGTCTTTGTTTGATGTGGTTCATATATGGATTTATGGGGACCATAAATCTGATTCAGAGGAGACTGATGTGGATCCTTTTGTTTCCGGAAGGGAATGAGTTGGATGAATTATCTGGGGTTTATGAAGGAGACGAGCGTGACAGCGTGCAGGGGGAAAAAGAGAACCTGGTGGAAGTTGGTGATTTGAGTGGAAAAGCACGGTACAACAGCAACCACCGGGGATGAAGGCTCCTCCAGCATGTGGCCCATAGATCGGATGGCTCCATCGTGGCCCTACCGCCGCCGCCGCCGGTCCTCTTCAGAAGGAGGCGGATTGCGATAGCCGTGGGGAGGATGAATATGAGCGCACAAACAGGCACCTGCCATTGCCAGCTCTCCATTTCTCTATTTTGCTTTCTGTTCAATTACCAATCACTTGGAGCCTGGAGATTGGGGCTTTTTGTTTCAAAATTTTTCAATCGGTGGACTCTTTTAGAGTAAGTAGAAGAGTTCGAGACGATAGAAGAAAAAACTGAAAATTGGAGACTGTGGGTGGGGGCCATGAATCAATCGGGTATATGTTGTGTATATATAGGGTATATGTTCTGTATAATATCAGGGCTACCTTATATGCATGTATGGTTTATATTGACAAAGCATTAACTGATGATTTTTTTTTGTATATGTATGGTTTATACTTAGTATATTTTCGGTATATGATAAAGAAATTTATCGCGCGACCTAATTTTTATGTATAAAATATGTTTAAAAATAGCATAAAGTGAATTTTTTTTGTTGGTGTTGTGTATATGTATGGTTTTATATTGAGTAATCTGTTATAATATGTTTTTAACCTATATATATACTTTTATGTATAAAAAAAGAAAAAAGAAGAAAATACAATTTTTGATGGAAGACATTTTTTTCATTGCAACATATACTGAATATATACTAACATAAACACAATATATACCAGCCGCGTGAATTAAGGAATTGCAGTTACGCACATATACTGAATATATACTAACATAAACTCAATATATACTACCTGAGAACTATGTGAATTAAGGAATTCCAGTTGCGCACATATACTGAATATATACTAACATAAACTCAATATATACAACTGCGTGAATTAAAGAATTTCAGTTGCGGGAATTAAGGAATTAAATGAGGAAATCACGCCTCGATAACTGATATGGATAGAGGACGTTACAAAAGGTAACTGATATTTAGGCAATCACGTAAATAAAATAGTTTGATTAAGTATATATCCAATTAATTGTTCTAGGAAGATAAAATTAAAAATTCTTTTATTTCATGTAGTATGTGTAAAATTTCCGTATCTTTATAGGCTACCTTCGTGCTCTTGTAGGAGATATTTGCAATTGAAAACAGCCCAAATCTTTTGAGGCCCAATTTAGTTAGTTTTGGACTGCCAATAGAGTACTAATTTCTCACTAAGCCGCCGTCGCCGCCTAAAAGAAACCTCAACACTCTCATCTTCGCCGCCGCCGCCTAGAAAATCAGCTACGATGGTGAGGTTTCGTTTTATATTCTCTTTCTGTTCGTGCTGATCTGCTGATTTTCACGAAAATGCTTCCTTTAATTTGGGATTTCAATATTGAGTTTAGTTGTTTGTTCCCTCCTTTTTTTATTCTGAAGATTGTTTTCGCATTGGTTGTTTATGTTGGGAGATTTTATAGAATTTAACCTGGTGAAAAAAGCAGGGATCTATTTGGATTTTGTGAATTGACCTCTCGTAAGTTGTTTTAGTGATTGAAGGTTCAGTAAACAATGCTATATTGTTGCAACTTTCAGCTGCTTTTACTGTATCTATCTACCTTTTGGGTATTTAGATGCTTTAAATCATGGAAAAGATGCTACTTTTTACCTAACTGCTACACCTCTTAAATCGTGTAGACAATAGTCTTATCTTTAATTGTGTATAATATTTCTGTAACCTGCATTTAATTTGATTTCTTTGGTTGTAATTACTCTTACCATCTTCACTGCTCTCTATAAATATTAGCATGTTCTTGTGAACTATGATAGAAATGTGTACTTGTGTTTATTGTATAGGAATTTTTTGGTTTCGAATTGTGTCCTTGTGTATGACTTAGGAGAGTTTGATGTTTATATTAGAAATATTTGCTGATTTTTTACTGTGATTTAGTTGTGCCATTTCCTCTTAAGCTGGACACCATGAACATTAATTTGACTTGCAGTTAATTTGAAGAGATAACTATAATTTTGAAAAAAAAAAAAAAAAATCGTAGCTCAAAACTTACTTCTGTAGCTGTTTTTTATTTTTTACATATTTCTGTCATTACATAGCTCTCAGATTCTACTTTATATTTATCAGAATTCAATTCTTCAAGATGGATGGTGGGACCTTTCAATATTATTTTTAGTGCAACTCAGTATCTTGGCATGCCGTTTATGTCCATATACCACAGTATTTGATCCTTTATGAGCATAATGGATTCAGATCATTGGGGTGATGAGAAATTGCTGACATTGGTAAATCTCATGTGTTCTGATAGTTATATTTGTACTGTTGTTGATAGTCTGTTCCAGTAAACCCGAAGCCTTTTCTGAACAATTTGACTGGGAAGCCAGTAATGGTGAAACTCAAATGGGGAATGGAATATAAAGGTATTTTTGTCTCTGTGATCCTTTGGAAGTTCCGAATGTTTGTTCTTTGTCTACCGTCTGAATTTGATTATCCATTTGGTGTCTAACTATCTCTTTATGGGTCTCTCTCTTCAGGTTTTCTCGTATCCGTTGATTCTTACATGAATTTGCAGGTATAGTAAGTAATGATATTTTAGTTTTTGTGCATCTTTTTCACATTTTCTTGATATGCCAAACATCCATAGACATATTTGGAGTTTGGACATTGTGTTGTGAAGCTAAAACTATGCTGAAATTGTGTGCGTGTGTGCGTGTGTGTGTGTGTGTGTTTTTTTTTTTTTATATTGTGTGGCCAAGAATTTCTTTTACCCTGTTTGTTTTGGTACTCTTAGTTCTTCAATTTTTGACATAATTTATGATATCTCAATTTCTGGTTAGAATTACTTGAATCTATTATAACTATTTGTTTATTTGTGTAGTGCCTTAAATTTAAATTAAATGCATGGAGCTCTAGTATTTTCCAATGTATTTACTTGCAACAGTAAAGTAAACGCAAATTAAATGTCAGTAAGATGGACACTATGAACATTAAGATGGAAGATGTAAGTGTACCGAAGTCTCAAGTCTTATGAGAACACCTTAAGTTGTTGGAGCATAATTCAATTTGAGCTTATTAGATTCAAAATGCATTTTGTTGTGGCAGCTTGCAAATGCTGAGGAATATATCGATGGGCAGTGCACGGGAAGTCTTGGTGAGATATTAATCAGGTAATCATCTGTTTATTCATCAGTTATCATAAAATGGACTATTTTAAATTAAATTTGGTTTGCAGATATTGGTCTTTTTTTACTTACCCCCTGTGTTAAAATCTCAATCGAAATATAATCTAACTTAGTTTTGTTGGTTATGAAGTTAGACAAGGCTATCTCTCGATTAGACTGCTGACAATGTCAATATCATCTGTCTTGTTTCGATTCGTTAACAGATGTAACAATGTTCTTTATCTGCGTGGGGTGCCAGAGGATGAAGAAATTGAAGATGCAGAAAACGAGTAGGTGGCTTTTCTGTAGAACAGTGTTAGTTACTCGTGTGAATTATTTTGGGTGGAGCTGAATCGAGGGACGTTAGTTAATTTTTGTCACACAAACCGATTGATAATTTTGTGTAGTAATTTAAGCGGAGTTGAGCTGATTTAAGGAAAGTTTAATTTATGTTCTTAAAAAAGTGAACTTGAGCTCGATATGGAATCTTTTTGTACCGAGTCGAGTCATAATGAAATTCTAACTGAATGATACACAAGCAGAAGTTTAATGATACGCAACAGAGCTTTTACTCGTTTAATGCAAGAGCCTAAGTTTGTGCGTGTACTTGGCTCGAATAATCCAGCGCATAAGCTTGCTCGTTAATTTAGTGTAATCTTCTGCATCTATTCCCTGCGTTGTGGATTTTGAATTCTATATGGTATTATGGAAATATGTGAAGTTCCATTAGGGTTTATTTTGATTTTTATTGCTTCATTTGTTTTATTTTGATTTTTATTCCTTCATTTGGTTTATTTTGGTAGGCTGTCTAAGCTTTTGCTACAATGAATCAACATTTGATTTACTTTGAGAATAAGTTTTTATTCTCCTTGCTTATGTTGCGATTAGAGCTGTTAAATGAAACGAGCTGCTCGTGAGCTCGGCTCGAGCTCAGTTTGGCTCTAGACATGGTTTTTAAGTAATTTTATGAATTTTTTCCTTAGACGTGTATTAAAAGCTCAAACTCAGCTCGGTTGGTTTACACCTGTATGTTTGATTCAGTATGGAGCTTCAAGAGTTGGTGCTACAAAATGCTGATGCTTAATTGCTATCGAGATAGCAGGGTTTAAGTTTGTTCTTGTGTTGCTTAAATTTATTCATGAATCTAGTCCATTATAATTTATTTTTTTTTAAATTATAAATGTATCCTTGAGGTTAAGGTAATTTGCCAAAAATAATAAAAAAAAAATGAGTGTACTTATTTGGCATGTAATGCTGAAAGTTACGACAGCGTGGAAAAAACACGTTTTTTTTTTCAGTGAAAACGACGAGTCATGGACCCGTGATCAATTAAGATACATTCGTTTCATTTCATTTTATTTATATGTGAAAAATAGCACGAGTTTTTCAATGGACAACGATACACTGTACTCTCGTTATCAATATTGATGAGATATTAGTTGGCCATAAATTTTTATGTGTGTCAGTTTAATGTTAGGCTATGCTTGGTAAAGTTAGCTGATAGTTGATAAGTTAGCTTATAGCTTAGTAGTAATTTTTTAGCTTATATCTTATAGTTTATGACTTATAGTTGAAAAGCTAGCTTATTTGGTAAAATTAGCTGATGAGCTAGCTGGAATAAAAAATTCAACTAGCTTATTTGAAAAAAGTTCGTCCTACCAAACGAGATTTATTTGAATACAAGTAGCTTATAAGCTAATCAAATAAGCTATAAGCTAACTTAGTTGTCTACCAAACATAGCCTTAGTCGAGTCAGTATATTATATTTTGTGAATTAAAATACATAATTATATTATATTATCAAATGTGATTTTTTAAGGGGTAGGGCTAATAGTTAGATAGTTATCTATTTAATAACGGTTTAAGTAAAACATATGTTGAAGTTGAGCCGTTAGTTTTCGCATAATTTTATGATTCTTTTTAGAGGTTAATTTTCTTTTCTTAACAAGTTTATGCCCGATCTATTACTGTTTACAATCTGTAGACAATTATCCAAAATGAT